CGACAAGGAGGCCCTTGCTATCATCATCGCCTTCAAAACGTGGAGATGTTATCTCGAAGGACGCAAGACGACAGTCTACACCGACCATTGCAACCTAAAATATTTGAAGACGCAACCAAGCCTCTCCAGGCGACAGGTTCGGTGCATCGACTTCCTCGAGACGCACTTTCACTACGACATGGTGTACAAGGCTGGCCATAAAAACAAAGCCGACGCGCTTAGCCGGCCTGCACACGTTGCCGCGATCCACGTTGAAGGGATGAATCCACTCCTCAAGAGACTCTTCACACACGGGTACACCATCGACCCCGAAATCCCTTTTGCAAAAAAACAACATCTGCTACAGTGGGACAACGACATCGCGTACCGGAAAGGATCAACAAAGATCTGGGTACCTAATTACCCTCCATTGCAACAGATACTACTTGAAGAATACCACGACGTCCTCTACGCCGGACACTTCGGTAGCAACAAGACGCTCACCGGTATCGCCAAACACTACTACTGGCCCCACATGGCAGATGACGTACGGAAATTCGTCACCTCGTGCACTATATGTCAGCGGATGAAGAGCAGCAAGCAGAAAAAGACGGGTCTGCTACAGCCTCTTCCTGTCCCAGAACAGCCATGGCAAGTGGTAAGCCTAGACTTCATCACCGAGCTACCAACTACCACAAGCGGTCATGACGCGATCCTCGTCGTCATTGACAAGTTCTCCAAAATGGGACACTTCATCCCGACACACACGACAGCACACTCCGAGGAGACAGCACAACTCTTTGTTCGCTACATCATCTCACAACATGGCATTCCAACCACACTCATCTCCGATCGAGACCCTAAGTTCACGAGTAAATTCTCTAAAGAACTGATGTCTCTACTCGGGACCAAACTCGCCATGTCATTCGCATACCATCCGCAGACAGACGGCCAGACCGAGTGCCTCAACCAAATTGTGGAGCAACTCTTCCGCGCAGCCTGCAAGGATGACATCTCCAAATGGGACTTGCATCTGCCCGTCCTGGAGTTTGCCTACAACAATGCTACTCACGCCGCTACTGGACAGACGTCGTTCTTCCTTTGTTACGGACGCCACCCACTCACACCTCAACAGCCAAATATACCAGCCACAGTCCAACCCGCTCATGATTTCATCACGACCATGCACAAACTTTGGGATCGGACCCACAAGCGCCTTCTCGACATTCAGCAACAACAGAAGCGCCAGGCCGATCGCCACCGCACAGACCACACCATCACCGTGGGAGACCGAGTACTTCTCGACACGCGCAATCTTGACATCAGCCATCTCCCATCTAAACTGCGACCTCGCTTCTACGGGCCTTTTCTTGTTGAAGCACAGGTCACTCCTGTTACCTTCCGCTTACGCCTGCCAGCTACCTGGAAGATTCACAACGCCTTCCATGTCCAACTCTTGAAGCCCTACCGAGATCCCAACACGGTCTTCTCTGGACGCCAACTGCCGTCGCCGCCGCCCGTCCTCGTCCAGGGTTAACCCGAGTACGAGGTCGAGTCCGTGCTCGCACACCGCCGTCGACGGAATGGCACTGTGGAGCTTCTCATCCGTTGGAAGGGTTATGATCCTTCAGAGGATAGCTGGGTCTTTCAATCCGAGATGGATCATGCTCGTCGTCATCTTCGCGACTACCTTGTCAAGCAGGGTGTTACGTCTACCACCCAGCTTTGAGGGGGGGAAGTGTGAGAGTACAACCCTGTTCCATTCCTTTCTCCTTTCCTTTTCCATTTCATTTCTCTTTTTATCCTGATTCATCTGGTCTTTATCTCATTCCATTTGGATTCCTATTCCTTCTTTTCCATAAACCTTTGGTTTATCCTGCTATTATAATTATATCACCGACCAAGCTCGGGATGTACTGGCACGCTATATCTAGCGTAATCCTGCCGTAATCCCTTAAAGCCAATAGCCTTGCGTGGCTATATGCAGGGTGATTCTATTTCTAGAAGGGTCTATTCCCTTTGGATAGGATAAACCTTGTTACCTGATCTATTCTGGAAGTATAAAAGCGCCTTGTATCAATCAATAGTGCAACCTTTCCTCAACACATTCGATCCTGTGACACTTGGTAATCAGAGCTTTTCTCACTTGGTCGCGCTCAGCTAAGCAGCAGCAGTGGAGATCCTTCCTCGAAAAACCGTCGGGGGCAACCAATTCGACGCCGATTCTGGTAAGCACCAGCTCCGCGTTTTTTTGAATTACCCCCTCCGCGCGTGTTTTGAACAGGATGGCGAACTTTGGCAACGCCGAAGTTACCCAGCAGCTCTTCGCAAGCATCGCCGCCCTACAGGAGAAGATGCGAGCCGACCGCGAAGCTTGGCGAAGCGAGTTCGAGCGAGTAACTCGACTCGCCAGCGCGCAATACGACACGACAACGGCGATGACGCAGCAGTCGCAGCAGTTTCTTGAGGCTCCGAAACCGCGCCCACCTAAGCCATTCGATCCGAGCGATCGAAATTCCGACGCCCGCAGATGGATCGCCGGCATGGAGATCTACTTCGCAGCCGTCGGATGGAGCTCGCCAGTCTGAGATGGTCAACGCGTACGACTCTCGGTGACAATGATGCAAGGGCCGGCACTCGAGCGGATCGGCGGTAACAGCACCTTCATCCAGGGTGAAGCCACGTGGCAGCAGTTCCGCACCGACCTGCTGAAGCGTTTCGAGCCGATAAATTCGGGTTTCCTTGCCCGGGAAAAAATTCATCGCCATCGACAGTTCGGGAGTGTGGCGCAGTACACGCAGCAGATGGAAGATTTAATAACCGTATTCCCGACCTGACCAAAGGGGAAAAAGTACAGTCGTACCTCACCTGGCTGAAGACCGAAGTCAAACAACAAGTAGCAGCGACAAACTACGCGAGCTACAGTGACGTCGTTTTGTCAGCGGAACGCTTCGACATGGTCAACGCCAGGACACGACGGGCGCACGTCAGCTCAGGGAAGTGAGCTGAGGGATGTGAGATGAGAGAAGTGAGCTTAGGGAAGTATGCTCAGGGAAGTGAGCAGAGAGAAGTGAGCTCGGGGAAGGGAGCTGATAGAAGTGTGCTAAGGGAAGTAAGCTCAAGGAAGTCAGCAGAGAGGTGAGCTCAGGAAAGTGAGTTGAGAGAAGTGAGCTCAAGGAAGTGAGTTGAGAGAAGTAAGCTCAGGGAAGTGAGCGGAGAGAAGTGAGCTGAGGGAAGTGCGCTGAGAAAAGTGAGCTCAGGGAAGTGAGCTCAGGGACTGAGCTGAGAGAAGTGAGCTCAAGAAAGTGAGCTGAGAGAAGTGAGCTCAGGGAAGTGAGCTGAGAGAAGTGAGCTCAGGGAAGTGAGCGGAGAAAAGTGATCTCAGGGAAGTGATGTGAGAGAAGTGAGCTCAAGGAAGTGAGCTGAGAGAAGTGAGCTCAGGGAAGTGAGCTCATGGAAGTGAGCTCAGGGTAGTAAGCTAAGGGAAGTGAGCTGAGAAAAGTGAGCTCAGGGAAGTGAGCTGAGAGAAGTGAGCTCAGGGAAGTGAGTTGAGAGAAGTGAGCTCAAGGAAGTGAGGTGAGAGAAGTGAGCTCAAGGAAGTGAGCTGAGAGAAGTGAGCTCAGGGAAGTTAGCTCAGGAAAGTGAGCTCAAGGAATTGAGGTCAGGGTAGTTAACTAAGGGAAATGAGCTGAGAGAAATGAGCTCAGAGATGTGAGCTGAGAGAAGTGAGCTCAGGAAAGTAAGCTGAGACAAGTGAGCTCAGAGAAGTGTGCTGAGAGAAGTGAGCTCAAGTAAGTGAGCTCAGGGAAGTGAGCTCACCTCTGGGAAGTGAGCTCAGAGAAGTGAGCTCAGGGAAGTGAGCTGAGAGAAGTGAGCTCAGGGAAGTGAGCTCAAGGAAGTGAGCTCAGGGAAGTCAACACTCCATAAAGAGCTTCCAACAAGTTTGTCTGAAGTTCATCATCTCACATTCCTGAAAGTCGTCAAGGTGACTAAGTTTACTTCCCTTCTAGAAGCCTTGGGTTCCTTATCGAGGCTTCGCAGACTGGCCCTGTTTTGTTTCCCAGCCGTTGAGTATTTGCAAGCATCCCTGACCCAGCTTGCCTTCCTCCAACCCCTGGTTATGCAGGACACTTCCCTCCAGAACCATTTTCCAAATTTCTCGTAATTGAGCAGGCTCAGAAGACTTAGGTTGTCGGACTGCAAGCAGTTGCAGGCTCTGCCAAAGGACATTACAATGCGCAAGATGCTGCGGTATTTCGAGGTCGAGGGTTGCAAGCAAGCCTTTGATGAAGAAGGCCACATACAGCCCCGTGGCATTTACAAGATATACGGATATGAGTTGGATTGTTAGCCACTTGTTTTGTGCTTTTGAGCCTTTGTAGGTTTGTGTGTAGGTTTGTGTGGTGCAATTTTGACAAAGAGAGTGCTCATGTGATGTAGTGGCGTTTTCAAGGGCGGAGTGATATATCTGTTGGATTATAGCTGATTGAAGGAGTTGACTGAAGGTGCCTTAACACAAAGCATGTCATGGCAATGTCTCTGATGTGAATGTATGAATATTTTGCAGTTTTCTGCTTATGTCAACTTCTAATGAGTTTATTCAAATGGGTGCATTCTGGTCTCCCCCATCGAGCTGGGTGAGTCAGCAAAAGGGACGTAACAATGTTCGCCATGTGTCTTCCAACACGTCACAGGTAGAGTAAACCACGTGCCTACCTGCTTTGAACCTGCTTGCTCCAGCGTGGCACCCGGGAATTTCGAAATTATCGGATGACGCAGAATTGATTACTCCGTAACGCAAGGTTGCACAATTGGAAAATCCACTCAATATCTGTTTGCAAAACACATTTTTGCCCATTTGATCTCGCGCGACCCGAGCGGGCATGTGCCATGTCACCACGCCAAGAAAAGGGGATTGCATTGCAGCATTCATCGGGTCAGGGCACATTTTCCTCCCCTCCCCTCACTTCCCCTTCGGTTCCTTGTTCTTCCTGAATCCTGACCGCCTCATTCCTCGCTCGAAGGCGTGCTCATGGTTTCTCCATAAATGGCGTCGCCAAGAATTCATTTCTCGAGGATTTCCTGACTCGCAGATTCTCTTCTGCTTACACTCGCTACCGTGCCACTTTATCCCTCGTAAACTCTTATTTCTAGCAATTCCGTCTCATCTTGTGGACATTTCTTAGAAAGAAATACTATTTCATCGTAGTACGCGAAGTTGAAGAACGAAAGCGAGCCTCTCGAGCTAGTATCATCCCCGTTATTATGGCGCGGACCATCCTAATCGCCGTGGACTCGTCCGAAAGCAGCTACAACGCCGTCCGATGGGTGGCGACGTTCCTTCTCCGGACGGGCGACCGCATCGTCATCCTGCACGTGCAGCCGCAGCCAGACCTCGTGCAGGGGGTCGTCGCTAAAGACCGTGAGCCGCTAGTACTAGCCACGAGCAGAACACACAAATCTCTTGTTTTATTATCGTATGGTCCCGGGATTGTAGCTGGTATTCCATTCTGCACGTGCAGCCACAGCCGGACCTCGTGCAGGGGGTCGTCGCTAAAGACCGTGAGCCGCTAGTACCCACGCTCGCTCCTATATGCTTTTATGGTTTGAGACGTGTGAAACATTCCGACGTACGTGCCTTCGTAGCTCGAACTCGTCGCTAAATGGCGTGAGCAGCGAGCCGAGCGCACACACTCTTGCAATTTATTATCTTATGGTTTAAGACGTGTAAGTATTCCTCCCTGCACGGCGAGGAACCTGCCTCGTCGTGCACGAGTCAATACACTTGCTTGTATGCCCCTTCGGCGTCTCAGGCCTGCACGTGCTGACTCCCAGCTTGCACCTGCCTTGTCTGCTTCCGAACACAAGATAACAACTCTTCTGGAAAGATTTTCGAGCTCCTGGGATTCGCTCCCGCCCTCCTGAGACAGCTCCACTCATCCCGCAATCCTTGATTTTGCAGCCCCAGCCTGACCTCGGCTGCGGCTGTTTTTTAGAATTCTCACAAACGCTCCCGCCCTCCTGTGACAGCTCCACTCATCCCGCCATCCTTTCCGAATCCTCTTACCCTCCCTCCCAGTCCCCTTGGACCCCGAAGCCGCGGAGCCCATCCGTAGTAGGACTGAGCCGCACGCACATCAGCAAGCTCTGCCGCACTCGATTCGACCCACACGTGTTCTTTGCTCTCCTCCAACCCCCCCTCTCCCACCCCCCTTCTCCCACCCCCCTTCTCCAACCCCCTTCTCCCACCCCCCATCTCCCACCCCCCCATCTCCCTCGCAGTCCCCTTGGACCCCGAAGCCATAGAGTCCATCCGCACGCACATCAGCAAGCTCAGCCGCGTAACGCTGCAGAAATGCCAGGACATATGCCAATCCTTTAAGGTGTGCCAACCCTTTAAGCTGTGCCGATCCTTCAAGGTGTGCCAACCCTTTAAGGTGTGCCGATCCTTTAAGGTGTGCCAACCCTTTAAGGTGTGCCGATCCTTTAAGGTGTGCCAACCCTTTAAGGTGTGCCGATCCTTCAAGGTGTGCCAACCCTTTAAGGTGTGCCGATCCTTTAAGGTGTGCCAACCCTTTAAGCTGTGCCGATCCTTTAAGGTGTGCCAACCCTTTAAGCTGTGCCGATCCTTTAAGGTGTGCCAACCCTTTAAGCTGTGCCGATCCTTTAAGGTGTGCCAACCCTTTAAGCTGTGCCGATCCTTCAAGGTGTGCCAACCCTTTAAGGTGTGCCGATCCTTTAAGGTGTGCCAACCCTTTAAGGTGTGCCGATCCTTTAAGGTGTGCCAACCCTTTAAGGTGTGCCGATCCTTCAAGGTGTGCCAACCCTTTAAGGTGTGCCGATCCTTTAAGGTGTGCCAACCCTTTAAGCTGTGCCGATCCTTTAAGGTGTGCCAACCCTTTAAGCTGTGCCGATCCTTTAAGGTGTGCCAACCCTTTAAGCTGTGCCGATCCTTTAAGGTGTGCCAACCCTTTAAGCTGTGCCGATCCTTTAAGGTGTGCCAACCCTTTAAGCTGTGCCAACCCTTTAAGGTGTGCCGATCCCACAATCTGCACGCTCGTCTCACAACCCCCAGAAACTCCCCGCCTCTCTGTTTGACTCATCCATCGGTCGTGGAGCATCTGAACCATCCACTCATATCCAGCGCAATAAACTGCTATCATGACCCTTCATACTCAAGCAGGAACAGCAGTAACTGTCTACCAGTCTGATATCCCCCCACTTCGCCCACGTTCTTCCCTTCTGAATGAGCCATTCTCCCTTTCTCCGCCCAACCCCTCCCTCGCCTCCCCTTCTCGTCCGCGCACCGCTGGCAGTTTGCAGCAGAGACCAAAGCGGAGATAGGCGATCCACGCACTGTGATCTGCGAGGAGGCAGCGCATCTGAACGCGGACCTGCTTGTCATGGGCTCCAGGGGACTGGGCACTCTCACCCGGTGAGCGCTGCTTTTGAGGCGACTCAAATCCAGGGGGCTGGGCACTCTCACCCAGTGAGCGCTGCTTTTGAGGCGACTCAAATCCAGGGGGCTGGGCACTCTCACCCGGTGAGCGCTGCTTTTGAGGCGACTCAAATCCAGGGGGCTGGGCACTCTCACCCGGTGAGCCCTGCTATTGAGGCGACTCAAATCCAGGGGGATGGGCACTCTCACCCGGTGAGCACTGCCAACACCTCACGTGCATGGTGATGGTGCTACTAGACCCTGCTGGTAACCACCTGATTGGGGTCAAGGTAGAAGTACAAGGTCTAGGAAAGAGAGGGACTGGGATTGAAGAGGGTAGCAGCAGCAGCAGCTGTCTCCCTACCCTCTCACTTTTCTACCCTCTCTCCTCTCCATCTCTCCCCCTTACTCCCTCTCCTCTTCTACCTCCCATCCCTCCCTCTCCCCCAGTCAACTCCTGGGCAGTGTGTCCAGCTACTGTGTGCACAACGCCCCTGTGCCCGTGCTGGTGCTTATGGACGGTCCCTTACCTTCCCCTGTTGCCTTCTCATCTTCCCTAACTTCTCCTCACTCTGCTCTCCTCTCCCTCTCTCTCCACCAACCCCTCGGTGCATCCCCACCCCCGCCTCTGCAGTCAACTCCTGGGCAGTGTGTCGAGCTACTGTGTGCACAACGCCCCTGTGCCTGTGCTCGTGGTGCGGCCGGTGGGCGCCAAGTGAGGATTCATCCACGCCATTGGACCAGGGGCAGTCACGGCTAAGAAGGGCTACGGTAGATGTGGTGTGCTGCTGTCAGCTTATTGCTATCAATGGCTCTGTTGGTTTGAGGGTGCTTGGTGGTGTGCTAGGGTGCAAAAGCATGCATGGTATTCCCATTGAGCATGCATAGACCATGGTCTAGACTTGAGATGCTTTATGTGCGCTATAAGGGTGGTTGGAATCATGCATGCACAGCAATGGACTGCCATACAGTATCAGGGTGGTTGTCAGGCCTCTGGATAGGATTTGGAGTAGTCTTTCATGTAAGGGTACGAACCCTCGACCACTTTTTCTGTAAGGGTGTTTTTTTTTTTTTTACTTCGGTTTAAAGGGTGCTAAAAAAAACTGTGTTTCCACATAAGGGTGTACAAATGCCATACCCATTCCTAACTTGATAAATTTGCTTAGCATTATAGATGTTCACATTGCAAAGCATAGCGCACTAATCCTGCACCATGCCAGATACTACTGTTAGAATACTAGAATGAATTGAAACATGAGAGAACAAGCAAGGTATAGGGTTGGAGTTGTACTTGCTAAGAACAAACTCCTATCTAGCCTATAACTTATACATACTAACATATGTATTAGTTGACACACCCCCTAGGCTAGATAAGGGGCAGCGCTGAGCAAGAAACACATAGCTCAGGGTGGCACTACTAGTCCAACCACTGAGGCAGGGATCCGAAGACCAGTCAGCAAGAGTACAAAACAAGGCAAGAACAAACCAGGGTGGCACTACTAGTCCGGCCACTGGAAGAGAAGCCACAAGGTCAGTCTGGAAGGTACAAATATAGAGGAGTACACAATCAAGGTCCTAGCAAGTGAGAGTCTACAGGAACGAGACCAAGCTGCAAACAGTGCCGCTGATGATCTCTAGGCGCGAGCGCCTTAGAGAAGATATCAGCTGTGTTGGCACCGGAGGCCAAGTGTACTACGCGAGCCTGGCGACGCTGCTATAGCTCGCGTAGGAGGAAGTACCGCAGCTTGATGTGCTTCGCTCTGCCCTCCGGTCGAGGCTCCTGACACAGGAGGATCATGACCCTATTGTCAGCGTACAGAACCGGGGCAGAGCTACGCCGCACACCCAAGTCGGTGAGCAAGAAGGTCAGCCAGCGGAGCTCCTTTGCCGCCATGGCACCTACGTAGATCTCAGCCTCACAGCTAGACTGGGCAACAGACGAGGAATGGGTGGACCTCCACGAGATGGCACCTGCACCAAGGCGTACAGGAGTAGCCCTGGAAGGACCTGAGGGCCATGGGTACATGAGGCAACCCACCAGCTCTGCGTAAGGACCACTAGGCTCTGCTGACTCCTCAGGAACTAGAGTTGAGAGCCTGTGGTCTACCGACAGAGGTGTGGGCTGTGCGGAGGAGAACTGAAGACCGAACCTTTGAAGGACCTGGCGCACCTAGTGTGACTGTCTGAGAGTGATGGTGCGCGCTCCTCTGTCCCTGGAGATATGCAAGCCAAGGTAGCGGCGCAGCTGTCCTAGGTCAGTGCATGTGTGCCTCCTTAGCAGCTCAGCCTTCACGGTGGCCAGCGCGTCTCTGTCTGCAGAAGTGAAGCGCAGATCGTCTATGTAGACAAGGATGTAGAACGGGGTATGGCCAGCACGAACGAAGAGCGAGGGGTCTGTAGAGGACGGGAAGAACTGCAAGTCAGCTAGCGTAGCACGCATCGTGTCGTGCCACTCACGGGGCGCTTGTCGCGGGCCGTAGATTGGGCGCCGAAGGAGCCACTGGGTCCCAGGAGGGAAGGTAACACTAAAGCCCTGAGGACGGCACAGGTAGACCTGCTCGTGTAGGCGGCCCTGAAGAAAAGCAGTGGAGAAGTATAGGGAGTGGAGCTCATAGTCACGCTATGCTGCTACGTGTAGCAGCACCCGAAGAGTAGTCATCTTCACGGTCGGGGCGAAGGTCTGAAAGAAGTCCACACCCTCTCGCTGACTGAAGCCTCTAGCCACGTAGCGTGCCTTGAAGACAGGCGGCTCTCCAGGGGGGCGCTTCACCTTGAAGAGCCATCGGCCATCGACTACGTTCACCCCAGATGGGGGAAATGCATCGACGTAGGTGCCAGTGGATCTCCAAGATGCCATCTCCTGCTCCATGGCAGCTATCCACTGAGAGGCCCAGGGTCCCGAGGTCGCCTCAGCGTAAGTACGAGGGATCAGGATATCGAAGGCGTCTGAGTCACCCTCGGGGACTAGGAGCATGGAACAGAGATGGGGAGCAACCTCGGACAGAAAAGCAAGCTCGTACTGGCGGTCCTCCGGGACGTCACTGCCGAGGGCAGGAGCACCCCCGACAGACGGAGGACAGGCAGGGTCAGAGACCAGAGCGGTGGCGTAGTCAAGGCAGTGGGTAGAGGCGAAGTCAGTGACAAGAGCGTCAAGACTGGAGACAGTAACAGACGGGTTGGTAACGAGAGAGGCAAGGACCCGAGGAACATGAGGACGAGCAACATGAAGGTAGTCAGACAGAGGGGGGGGCAGGACAGCAAGCGATGACGAAGGAGGCAAAGGCAGGAGGGGAGGACGAGACGCGTGGGAATGAAGCAACATAGAGTGAGAACGCGGAACAGTGGAGACAGGACAAGCACGAGAGGGACGAGGAGACACGACGTGAGACTGAGGCGTCAGGTCAGGAGGCAGAGGAGGAGTAATAGGAGGGGAACGAGGGGGGAAACGAGCCGGGGACGAGTCGGGCGGAGAAAACACTGGACCGTGAATAGGAAGGGGAGAAGGTGCAGGCAAGCGGTCAGAGGAGGGAAAACCGAGCAGGCGAAGGGCGGACACCGGCGGCGACTGCTCCTGCTGCTGCTCGACGCTGATACCGGGACCACCAGCGGCACCGCGGCTACCTCCAGATTACTCCACTCCAGCACCCCAAGAACGAGCACCCCCAGAGCGAGAACCCTCTCTAGCACCGGTGCCACACCCGAGCCCGCCGAGACAAGCCACGACAGGAACCCCAGGAATAGCACCCTCCTCAACGCCAGCACCCCCAGAGGCCACAACCGGCTGCTGCTGCTGCGACGACAGCGGCGGCTGCTTCGGCGGCGATGGCGGCTGCTGCGGCGGCGACGGCGACAGCGGAGGAGGAGACACCGGGGGAGAGACAGGCGGCAAGACCGGTGCCGCAGGGCTACCAAAGTCAGCAGACTTCTCGACCAGGACAAGCGACGGGAAGGGAGTGATGTGAGACACACGAGATGGAGCAGGAAGGGGTGGGAGGGGAGCAGGGGCTACCGGGGTAGTGGGTACCAGAAATATTGGAGGGGAAACCGGGAGACCTCGGTGAGGAAAGCAGTTGTAAAAGAAGACAGACTCGTCAAAGGTGGCGTCATGGGAGTGAAAGAAGCAGTGAGATGGCGGGTGGTAAAAGTGCCAGTTAGAGGAGTCCAGGGGGAAACCGAGGAAGACAGAGGGTACAGTGCGGGCAGTGAGCTTGTCCGTGCCAGAGGCACGAACGTGAGCGAGGCAGCCCCAAACGTGGAACGCGGACGCGTCACCAGGGAACGCGGTCCAAAGAAGGGTTGGCAAAACATGCGGCCGCTGGGAGCGAGGCCAGAGGTCAAGCTGGTGAGCTGCGTAGCGAACGGCGAACGGCCACAGAAAATGGGGTGCACCGGCATGGATCATGGAGGTACGAGCCACCTCCATGACCAAACCGATGCGTCGCTCAGCAACCCCATTCTGCTGTGGGGAGTCTGGTAGGGTGTACGACTGTGTGATGCCCTCCACACACACCGACCAAGCCGACCAAAGGCAAACTCACCGCCACAATCGGAGTGGATACACAACACAGGGAGACCGCGGTGGAGGTGTGCAGCTACGACCCACGGGATAAGAACGTCAGGCACGTCGGCCTTCCGCTCCAGAGAAAACACCGTGGTGTAGAGCGTGAAGTCGTCGACGAGCATGAGGAAGTGGCGCTCGCGACGCGGTCCAGGGACGGGGGCTGGGCCCCAGACGTCCAGGTGCAGGGTCTAGAGGGGTGCGGTGGCACGTCATATCGAGGAGGAGTGAGGAGCACTGCGGAGCCGGCCCTCGAGACAGGGCGTGCACGGTGGCATAGGCGAGGGAGGGAGGGCAGGAAATGACGTAGGGAGGCCTAGGACGAGACTGTGCTAGGACATGTGACGCAGACGCGGGAGCGCGGGGTGACCTAGGCGGTGGTGCCACAGAAGCGGCGGGTGAGTGAGTGACCGACACGAGCACGTAGCGGCGATCGGGGTAGACGCAGGACGCGGGGGGGACGGTCGACCCGGGGGGGAAGCAGTGTCCAGTGTAAAGAGGCCAGATACCGGGTCTTGGGGGAACGTGGCAAGGGGGGAACCTGAAGCGGCCTCGGTACAGACGGCGTACCACTCGTGACCCGGGAACGTAGTGGTGACGCCGAGGTCCTGAAGACAGCCGACACCAACTATGTTCCGGGAGAACGAGGGGATGTGCAGGCTTGTAAGGGAACCCGAGGGAACCGCTGGACAGGGAAGGGTAGTGTAGCTGCGAGCAACTACAGGACCAGAGGAGGGGTCAGCAAGGGCGACAGCAGCAGGCGCGGCAAGCGGCGTAAGCGCAGCGTGGTCGCGGAAGAAGCAGGCAAACGCACCGGAGTCCAATGTGAAGGACAGCGAAGCAGAATCGGCAGCCGAAGAAGGAGCGAGTGTGGAGCCTAGCTTAGACAAAGCACGCGGTCCTACGCCTGACGCTGCAGGGGAGTCTGTACTATACATAGGTGCTATGCCTATGCTAGCAAACACAGGGTAATAAGGTACAGACACACTAGAAGCATCAGCATACAGAGATTGCAGGGCATAACTAATCTGATCCATGTCTTAGTCAAACACAGGCACACCGTGGCGCAGCAGACAGGGCCAGTCGGGGAGGTCCGGGGCCGGGCCGAAGCGGCAACGGAAAAGGTTGTCGAGGCGGCGGAAGCAGCGAGCGGCCGGGTGCGGGCGGCGGCACACAGTGCCACGAAGGGGCCCGGTCTGGAGCTGGTATTGGCAGCCCACACCACCAAAGCCGCCGATAGATGCCGAGCTGCGAGGACCGCTGCCGCGGCTACCACCTCCAGAGACTCCCGGCCACCCTGGCGGGAGGCGGGCCCATGGCTACTGCTGTTGTTGTTACTGCAGCTGCTGCTGCGGCTGCTGCTGTGACTGCTGCTGCTCCTGAGCACCCGCCCCAGCCCCCTCGTCAGAACCACTGTCACCACCACCACCACCACGCCCTCCCTTGGTGCCGTGACGGCCCCGACGCTGGCGCTGCTGCTGCGGAAAGGCCACCGCTGCAGTCTCAGGAGCAGAAGCAGCCGTGGCGACTGCAA